GGTCTTAAATATTGGCCTGCCTTGCTATGTTGGGTAAGTTCTCCTGGATAATATCCTGGAGTGTTTTCCAGCTTGGATTCATTCTCTCCATCACATTCAGTTACACCTATCAAATGTAGATTAGGTCTTTTCACATAATCCCATATTTCTTGGAGGCTTTGTTCATTTCTTTTTACTCTTTTTTCTCTAATCTTGCCTTCTCATTTTATTTCATTGAGTTGATCTTCAATCACTGATATCCTTTCTTCTGCTTGGTCGACTCAGCTATTGAAACTTGTGTATGCTTTGCAAAGTTCTCTTGTTGTGTTTTTCAGCTCCATTGATTCATTTATATTCTTCTCTAAGCTGTTTATTCTCGTTAGCATTTCGTCAAACCTTTTTTCAAGGTTCTTAGTTTCTTTGCATTGGGATAGAATGTGTTCTTTTAGCTCAAAAAAGCTTGTTATTACCCACCTTCTGAAGCCTGTTTCTGCCAATTCATCAGACTCATTCTCCATCCAGCTTTGTTCCTTTGCTGGTGAGGAGTTGTGATCCCTTGAAGGAGGAGAGGCATTCTGATTTTGGGTGTTTTCATCCTTTTTGTGCTGGTTTCTTCCCATCTTTATGGATTTATCTACCTGTGGTCTTTGTAGTTGGTGACTTTCAGATGAGGTCTCTGAATGGACATTCTTTTTGTTGATGCTGAAGTTATTTCTTTCCTTTCTTTAGTTTTCCTTCTAACAGTCAGCCCCCTCTGCTGTAGGACTACTGGAGGTCCACTCCAGACCCTGCTTGCCTGGGGATCACCTGTGGCAACTGCAGAACAGTAAAGGTTGCTACCAGTTTATTCTGTTATCTTTGTCCCAGAAGGATACCCAGCAGATGTCAGCCTGAGCTGTCCTTTATGAGGTGTCTCTTTGGGTAAACAAGGGTCGGGGAGCTTCTCGAGGAGACAGTCTGCCTCTTTTAGGAGCTCAAGTTCTGAACTGTGAGCTCTGTTGTTCTGTTCAGAGCTGCTGGGCATGTATGTTTAAGTCTGCTGCAGCAGAACTTGTAACCGCCTTTTTTTCCCAGGTGCTCTGTCTTGGGAAGGTGGGGCTTTATTTATAAGTTCCTGATGTGCTGTTGCCTTTTTTTGCAGATGCCCTTCCCAGCAAGGAGGTAGCCTATTCACAGTCTGCTAGCAGAGGCATTGTTGAGCTGCCGTGGGCTCTGCCCTGCTGCTGTGTGAACTTCCTTGCAGTTTTGTTTATAGAGGTACAGTTAGAATTGCCAGGGTAATTGTGGTCTGCCTCAATAATGGCGTACTGCCTCTGTAATGGTAGACTGCCTTGGTAATGGCAGATTACCTCAGTAATGGCTGACTACCTCGGTAATGATGGACTGCCTTGGTAATGGCAGACTGCCTTGGTAGTGGTGGACTTCCTCGGTAATGGTGAACACCCTTCCCCACTCAGAGCTGGACCGTCCTGGGTCCAGCTGTGCTTGCTGCAGAATCCTCAATCCAGAGCATTTCAGATTGCTGGTCTTTGTGGGGGTGGATTCCGCCCAGCCAGATCACCTGTTTCAGCCCCCTTTTTTTCAGTTGAATGGGTGGCTCTCTCTCTCAGGCGTTCCAGGTGCCAGTTGAAACAGATTTGTGTGAGTTTTCATGTGGAGACCTGCTGTGCTGGCCAAAACAGCCGGGCTGGAAACTCATGGTACTTTCAGCATGGGAATCTTCTGGTCTGTGGGCAGTAAAAACTTGTTTGGAAATGCAGTGGTCATTCACCCTCTGCGTTGTTCTTGCTGGGAACTGTGCTCCAGAGCTGTTCCTATATGGCCATCTTGGATCCCTTGCTCCGGCTATTCTCTATTCTTGGGGACATCTATTTAAGTTGTTTGCCCATGTTTTATTTGGGTTATTGGTCCTTTTATTATGAATTGTAAGAGTTCTTTATATATTCTAGATTCAAGTCCCTTATCAGATAAATGACTTACAATTATTTTCTTTCATTCTGTAGCTTGTCTTTTCACTTTTTTGATGGTGTCCTTTGAATCACAAATTTTTAAATTTTGACAAAGTTCAATTTAACTATATTTTCTTTTGTTGCTTATGCTTTGGGGGTCTTATCTAAAAAATAGTTGCCTACTCTAGGATCACAAAGATGTACTCCTTTGTTTTATTCTTAGAGTTTTATAATTTTAGCTTTTACATTTAAGCTTTTGATTCATTTTAAGTTTTGTATATGGTGTGAGATAAGGATCCTAATTCATTATTTTGCATGTGGATATCCAGTTATCCAAGCACCATTCATTGAAATAATTGTCTAATTGTTCCCCTATTGAATTGTCTTATCACCTTTGTTAATTACAGTAAAGTAAAGGTTTATTTCTGGACACTCAGTTCTATTCCATCAATCTATGTATCCTTAGTCCATTATAACAAATATACATGTCTCGATTATTGCAGCTTTGTAATAAGGCTGCAATCAGAAAATGTGAATCCTGGCTAGGTGTGGTGGCTCATGCCTGTAATCCCAGCACTTTGGGAGGCTGAGGCAGGTGGGTCACGTCAGGTCAGGAGTTCAAGACCAGCCTGACAAACATGGTGAAACTCTGTCTCTACTAAAAATAAAAAAATTAACTGGACGTAGTGGTGCATACCTATAATCCCAGGGAGGCTGAGGCAGGAGAATCGCTTGAACTTGGGAGACCAAGGTTGCAGTGAGCCAGGATCATGCCATTGCACTCCAGCCTGGGCAACAAGAGAGAAACTCTACCATTGCACAGCCTGAGCAACAAGAGTGAAACTCTGTCTCAAAAAAAAAAAAAAAAAAAAAGTAAATCCCAAACTTTGTTCTTTTTCAAATTGTTTTGGCTATTCTGGTTCCCTTGCATATCTTTGTATCTGGAAGTTATAGGGATCAGCTTGTCAATTTCTGCAAAGAAGCCAGTTGAGATTTTGATAAAGATTGTGTTGAATCCGTAGGTCAATTTGGAAGGTGCTACCATTTTCACAGTATTGTCTTCTGATTGATGAACTTAGGCTGTCTTTCCATTTATTTAGGTCTTCTTTCTTTCAGTAATGTTTCTTAGTTTTCAGAGTGTACATTTTACACTTATTTTGTTAAATTTATTCCTAAGTATAAAATTTCTATTTGGAAATAAAATTTTTAATTTTATTTTAGATTGATGCTGTTAAATAGAGATATAAGGACTTTTGTATATTGGTCTTGTATCCCGCAACATTGCTTAACTCATTTGTTAGTTTTAATAGTTTTGTTTTTATTGTTGTTGTTGTTGTTGTTGTTTTGAGATAGAGTCTCACTTTGTCACTCAGGCTGGAGTGCAGTGGTGCGACCTTGGCTCACTGCAACCTCTGTCTCCCTGGTTCAAGTGATCCTGCCTCAGCCTCCTAAGTAGCTGGGGCTACAGGCTTGCACCACCATGCTCAGCTATTTTTTTTTTTCAGTAGAGATGGGGTTTTACCATGTTGGCCAGGCTGTTCTCAATCTCCTGACCTCAAGTGGTATGCCCACCTCAGCCTCCCAAATTGCTGGGATTACAGGTGTGAGCCACTGCATCTGGCCAAGTTTTAATAGTTTTTTAGTGTATTACTTAGTTCATCCTTCATTTTGGTTCCCAGATTGCTGCATCCTAGGTCTCAGGAGTCCCTTTAAGTGGGCTATCATGCTCTTTTGATACTGTCCACCAATAGACGTTGATAGTTTTCTTGATTCTGATACAATAAGGTGTCCTAGGTTCATCCTATCTCTGCCCCAGTCTTATAAGTGATTATTTTCCCAAATATTCTTGGTTCTTTTTTAGTGGGAAATGGTATTATATTAGTCTGTTTTCACACTGCTATAAAGAACTACCTGAGATTGGGTAACTTATTAAAAAAAGGGTGTAATTGACTCACAGTTCCGTATGGCTGGGGAAGGCTCAGGAAACTTAAAATCATGGTGGAAGGGGAAGCAAGGCACGTCTTAAGTGGTGGCAGGAGGGAGGAAGTGAAGAAAGCCACACTTTTAAACCATCGGATCTCACCAACTTAAGTGGTGGCAGGAGGGAGGGAGTGAAGAAAGCCACACTTTTAAACCATCGGATCTCACGGAACTCACTATCACAAGAACAATATGGAGGAAACCATCCCCATGACCCAGTCACCTTCCACCAGGTCCCTCCCCTCGCACATGGGGATTACAATTCAAGATGTGATTTGGCTGGGGACACAGAGCCAAACTATATCAGGTATTTAATAATACCTACAATCTTGGTGTTGGATGAACTCATTGCTATTGGATCGTTACTGCAACATGGCAGTAGCCAACTAAAATTGCCTGCACTGAATAAACAGCAGGTCCCAACTTTAGCTGCACATTACTATCACCTGGGGAAACTTAAAAGGTATCTATTAAATAGGAATTTCTGGGGGTGGGACTCAGCCCTCAATACTTTTTAAAGCTCCCCAGGTGACTCCAAAGTGTAGCTAAGATTGAGAATTGCTGTAATAAAGTACAAAATGACTACCAGCTAGAGAGACAGTGCTATAAAAGCAGAAATGACTTAGTTTATCAGATTAAGATTTCATATACCTAAGTTAAAGTAAATGAAAATAAAGGATCATTGAAAACTATTTGGCAACTACTTTAAAAAACACTTGGGGAAAGTGTTTGAATTAACTTATTCAACCATGTATTATCAAACATTTCAAATGGATACAAAGCATTGCACAGTGAGCCCCCATATGTCCATCACCTCACTTTAATAACCATCAACTAATGGTCATTCTTGTCTCTTCTATATACCTACCCATTTCCCCCACTACTCCTGAGTATTTTGTAGTAAACTCCAGACATAGATCTGTAAATGCTTCAGTATATAGCCCTAAAAAATTAGAATTGGAGCTTTTAAAGGTTTTTTTTTCTTATTTTTTTCATCTAGACTCAAATGAGATAAAGATTGTTTTCAAATGTATCCTTACTATCACTATCACACCTAAACATTTTAACAATATGAATTTTTATGTTACATAGGAAGATATGATAAGAGAACAGAAGATATATCACAAGTATTTGGCACAGAGACATGAGGAAGAAAAAGCTCAGGAGAAAGAATTCGATAGAATATTAGAGGAAGACAAGGAAAAGAAGTTGGCTGAGAAGGACAAGGAGCTGAAGCTTGAAAAGGAGGCAAGGAAACAGCTTGTGGATGAGGTCATGTGTACCAGAAAACTTCAGGTTCAAGAAAAGTGTAAGGAACTGAATTACAGTTATGTTATAGCTTGCCCTTAATTCAGTTTTTCAATTTACCAAGAAACTTACAATTGTAATACTTATTATGTAAAACGCCATGAGGGATGCAAAAAGGATGAAGGCAGAAGGCCCACTTTTGCAAATCTTATATAATTTGATATATATATGAAGTTTTATATTCCAGCAGATTCCAAGCAGTCACAGGGGAGCTCTCAAAGTTAAAGGAACAGTACATCATTTGAATACTGTGTATCTTGGTGATTAGAATGAAGAGTGAGAAGATGGAGCACACGCATACAGCTCCTTCTTGTCCTTTGTATCTGTCCTTCTTTTCTTTCCAAAGTTGTCTCCATACCTTTTGTATCTGTACCTCGTTTCTTTCCAAAGTTGTCTCCATACCTTTGTTTATGTAGTTGTCTCTGCCTATGATGCTCTTGATCGTGAAAAATCTAGACATCCTTCAATGCCAGCTCAGTTGACTCATGCCTGGAAAGGCCCTCTGTGTTCCCCCATCAAAATAAATCCTCTCTTCCAGAGCACTGTGGCTTGCTCACATCTCAGATGGCCAACTGGCCAGGAGAGTCTTTATTTGGAGACCATGCTCAAAGTTTGGAGAATCTTTTCCCCTTTTTAATACTTATATTCAATCCAGGCCAGTTACTAGGTATTTCTTTCATAAAGGGGGTTTAAGCTATTCTTCTAAGGGTAAGCTTTGTTTTAAGTTTCTGAAAGTTACATCTGTGCTGAGCTGACATTTGTCTCTTGGAAATCCCTGGACTAGGTTGTATCATACTGCTAAGCGATAGACAGTGTCAGCCCTGAGAGATGCTTAAGTGAACTTTATGGCTACCATTAATCGTATAGCCACATTATGTCTCTTATTTAATACTTCACGATGCCACTATATTACTTCAGCTTCAAGCAGTGCTTGGTCACAGAAGCAGGTTTGTTGAGAAGGTGAATTTCCACCTCCACATTTCTGCAATTTCCATGTCCAGCCCAATGGACCAGAGAGGCAATAAACAGAGGGACACATTTATTGTTTGAGTACCATTGGATTTCACACTAGTGGTCTTTGCAAGAGGAAGATTATCCTGGTCCCACTGATTAATTGTTTACTACAGGAATTCTAATAGCAGTAGAAAATTAAGCCAGTATTAGTTGGAACTTTTAGAAAGTGAGTAAAAAGTTTAAAAGCTGAAAAGATTTTTATATTCATCAGTGATAAATGTTTTAGAAAATATTGAAAAAAAACATGGAAAATTTATCGAGACCATTTGTAAACAAGGAAGCAAAATCAACCATAATTCCACCACCCAGGAATAGCTACTATTCATAGCTTTGTATATTTTCTTCTAGTATTTTTACTACATATATAATTTTCCTTTACAAATTAGAATCATGTTGTATATGGTGTTTAATAGTCTATATTTTTCACATATCAAAAACATTTTATGTCATTTTTCATCAATTATAAGATTTGCAATGACTGCCTAGAAATCTGTTATAAAAACAGACCATAATTTATTTTACCTAAACACAACAAATAAACCTTTATATTGTTTCTAATCTTTTTACTGTCATTTTACAATTCCAGGTTATTGTCTCTGTACATAGTTACATAGTTCTTTTTGGATTGTATCTGATTGTTTAAGACAAATTTCTGAAATAGATTGTGGTACCAAAGATATGTACATTTCAGATGTATAGTAGCCTGTTGCATTTATTATTTTGTAAACTCTGTTTCCTTTGCCTTTTTTTCTATTGGGATGCTTAAATATTTTTATTAACTTATAAGAGCTTTATTTATTTATTTATTTATTTATTTATTTGAGACAGTCTTGTTCTGTCGCTCAGGCTGGAGTCAGTGGCATGATATAGGCCCACTGCAACCTCAATTTCACTGGTTCAAGTGATTCTTGTGCCTCAGCCTCCTGAGCAGCTGGGATTACAAGCGTGCACCACTGTGCCTGGCTAATTTTTGTATTTTTAGTAGAGACGAGGTTTCACCTTGTTGACCGGGCTGGTCTCAAACTCCTGACCTCAGGTGATCCACCCATCTCAGCCAAAGAGCTTTATATATTTAAATAATATTTATTTTATAATAAATAAACTCTCTCATTAGTATGAATGGCAATGAACTGTTTGTCTTCAAGGAGAGAAAAGTGAGAAGTGTTTTAACATTGGTAATCTGGTATGAAAAAGGGTAATTATTGATTTTCATTGAAAATGATCAAGAGAAAATCTGTAGACTGTAGCATATATCAGCCTAAACCGAATTTATTTCTCAATTGAGATAAGTACTTGTACTTTATCAATTTAAGATCCAGTCATGATTCTAAGCTCTACCTTTCTAAAGACAATATGACTTTGGTGCCCAGAAAGATGTTGGCAAGTCTTGTCTGAAAGTCATTTGACATATAATTACTTTTGCTTTTCTTAGTGCAACGAGAAGCTAAAGAACAGGAAGAGCGTGCTATGGAACAGAAACACATACATGCAGGTCATAAAGAACTTCACTGTGAAGAGAAGGAGAATTTTGCAAGGTATAATTTTGTTTTCTGTATCATCATTTGCTACCTAAAAAAACAGATTTTTGGCTGGTGTGGTGACTCACACCTGTAATCCCAGCACTTTGGGAGGCAGAGGCAGGAGGATCACAAGGCCAAGAGATCAAGACCATCCTGGCCAACATGGTGAAAACCCATCTCTATTAAAAATACGTAAATTAGCTGGGTGTGGTGCCACACACCTGTAGTCTCAGCTACTCAGGAGACTGAGTCAGGAGATTGCTTGAACCTGGGAGGTGGAGGTAGCAGTGAGCTGAGATCACACCACTGCACGTCAGCCTGGGCTACAGAGTAAGACTCCATCTCAGAAAAAACAAAACAAAAACAAAAACAAAAAACACATTTTTGGCCAGGCATGGTGGCTCACACCTATAATCCCAGCACTTTGGGAGGCTGAAGAAGGAGGTGAGTTTTGCAAGGTATGATTTTGTTTTCTGTATCATCATTTGCTACCTAGAAACCAGATATTTGGCCAGGCATGGTGGCTCACACCTGTAATCCCAGCACTTTGGGAGGTTGAGGAAGGAGGATTGCTTGAAGCCAGGAGTTTGAGATTAGCCTGGGCAATATAGCAAGACCCTATCTCTACAAAAAAATAAAAATAAAAACTAGCCAGATATGGTGACATAGACCTGTAGTTCTACCTACTTGGGAGCTGAAGTGGGAAGATCACTTGAGTACAGGAGTTAAACACAGCAGTGAGCTATGATTTTTCCACCACACTCCAGCCTGGGCAACAGAGCAAGATCTGTCTCAGAAAAACAGAAACAAAAACAGATTTTCAACATAGAGAGAAGATTATGTGCTATAATTCACTCATTATTGACACTATTTTACATTAGTAGTACACTTACCCTTCTAGAAGCTCAAAGCAGTTTACAAAATTTCACGTAAAAGCAGGCACCAACTGTCTTGGTAAAATTAAATTCCATTGACATTATGTATATTATGGTTATATACATAGGACATTTGACTGGATGAATATCTTACAAAATAAGTTTGAAACACTTAAAAAATAGGCACCACTAGAAAACCCTGGGTGCTTTGGGAAATACCACTGCTCTCCTCTGACAAGCCTTGGGCTGGGATTAGTGTCTTTCTGATCACTACAACCAGGCTCAGTTGGGGGAAACAGGCAGCTACCTCCCTGCAGCTTTTCTTACACCATTGCAGTCTCTTCCCACTGGTGGCCGTGATACCTAAATCAGGCGGCCAGTGTAATGGAGGAAGAGGACCTGGCTTCTCTGATTACTGGTTACCCTCCCTGTTTCTGGAGCCTGTCTCCTGACTTACTCACACTTGGTGCATAGAAATAAGCTCTTCTCTTTCTAGAAAGAGCATGGCTAATGTGCCTGATCCCATTCTCACTTTGGGATCACAAACAACAATATCTGGCCTACCCTTCTGACTTCCTGCTATTGCCTCTGCTCTAGAAATCTTTCATTCTCATTTTTAAAAATTCTCCTGTTGGAGATTTATGAGGACTCAATAAATATCACCTCTCTTCCCTGCTGAACTTCTGAATTAATGGCGAGATGAGGAAAAAAATGTGGGCAGAGGTATTATAGTTACCTCTTGCTACATAATAAAATACCCCAAAATGTGTGGTTCGAAGCAATTTATGATTATCTTTTATGATTCTGTGGGTCAACAAGGCTCAACTAGGTAGTTCTTGCTTGGAACATCTCATGTGGTTTAAGTCAGATCCACATGACTGAGCCTATATTCATCTGAAGGCTCAACCTAGGATACCTACTCATATAGCTCGCAGTGTATACTGACTGTAGTCAGGGATCTCAGTTATCAACTAGGAGTTTTAGTTTTCACCTAGAACACCTATATGTGAGCTCTCCATGTGATTTAGACTTCTCACAGTATGGCGACTTATTCTGAGAGGGAGAGTTCCAACAGCAAGTATTCCAAGAGCTAGGAAGAAGCTGCCAGGCCAGTTAAGAGCTACACCTAGGACTGGCATAGCATTACTTCTGCGATATTCCATTGGTCATAAAAGTAGTTATAGGGCCCATCCTCAAGGGGATGGAGAAAGAAGCTCCACCTCTTAATAGGGTAGCAGAGGTTCACATTGCTGAAGAGTGTAACTAGGCTGGTGGCATGGGGAAAAAAGAATTTACCAAGACATTTGTAGGTACAGGCAGATTTATTAGAGAAAGTAGGAAAATTCAGTGTGAGAAAGCAATGGGCAGCCAGCAAGAGAAGAACTGACTGCCAGCAAACAAACACTTGCTGAAGATTTTATAGGATGGTTCTTGGGCTACTTGATAACACCAAGGTATCAGGGAGCTAACCTGCATTTATCTCTCAGCTGAGATATTTGATGGTGAATTGAAGCATTTGATGATAAGCAGAAAGTTTGTGAGTTTTGTACTTTGCACAGGAGGGCTATATGTCCTGGCCCATAAAGAAAGGCAGACCTATAGCTTATCTGCTTTATCTCTTTGCTTTCTCCTGGTTCCACCAGCCTGAATCCTTTTTCCTAATTAGGATTCTACATTTCCCCAACAGAGCAACAATGACAAATTTTTGGCACGTGAATGGAAGGTCTCATCTTCCAACTGCTTTCTGCCAACCAGACGTGTAGAGTTTGCCCTGCCTAGGATTGTTAGTTGGTCAGGAGGTTACTTGGACCTAAATCCTTGGGTTGAGAGTTAAATTGGTCAGAGCTGTTGTGAGACCACGGAGGAACAGCATTTGCAGCCTAAAATTTTGTCCTGCTGTATCCAAAGGAGAATCATGGAGTTCTTTTAGTGGCTGATACCCTCATTGCAGTAACATTTTGGTTTGAAATTGTTATATTCTAGAAATCACAAAACAAGATACTGTATTAACAATACATGGCACAAAAAAATAAAGTAATATGAGCATTATTATTTTTGTTTTTTGAGATGGAATTCTGCTCTTGTCACCCAGGCTGGAGTGCAGTGGCGTGATCCCAGCTCCCAGCAACCTCTGCTTCCCAGGTTCAAGTGATTCTCCTGCCTCAGCCTCCCAAGTAACTGGGATTATAGGCATATGCCACCACACCCAGCTAATTTTTATATTTTTCAATAGGGTTTCACCATATTGGCCAGGCTGGTCTCAAACTCCTGACCTCAGGTGATCCACCCACCTTAGCCTCCCAAAGTCCTGGGATTACAGGTGTGAGCCACCGTGCCTGGCCAATATGGGCATTATTATTGATGGGAGAAGTGGGGCAACCTATAGCCAAACCCAGCTGAAGAAGCTTTGAAGTAGCTGTGCCAAAAAGGAATCTTCAGGAACTCCTTTTTGAAGGCCCTCTAATATTTTGATGTTTTTTTTTAATCTTTTCTAAAGTTTTTTCTACTTGACCTGAGGTATTGAAGTAAAAGCAACAAGTTTCATTTAACAGCATGTAGGTGCCTTCTGCCTCAGCAGTAAGCACATCCACAGTACATCAATTTTGCAAGACAACCCCTGCTAATGAATTGAGGGCCTGTGGTTGGGCCTTGATGGCCATGACTTTAGCTTCCCAAGATTGCTAGACTAAGATGGTGATATTACAAATGCTGTGCTCAACCATGGGTATACCTGCTAACCGAAAGATTGCATGGGCAACAGAATGTCCTAGACCATTCCTCTCTATAATGGGATCATTAGTGGTGAAGATGCCAAATGATGGAAGGTTCGTTAAGTCCTGTTTCTGCTTCCTTTCTTCTGATGGCCTTTGAAGGGCCCAAAAGAAGAGCCCAGTTCCTTTTAAAGAAACTCCCGAGGAGAGACCTTGTAACCAGGGATAGGTACGGTTAGTTTGGACTCCGGTATAGTTTGCATAAATAGAGGGATCCCACGGTCCCCAGGAATCAAATGTGGGTGGGCGGTGACCTAGAAAGTAGTCATCCATACATAAAGGGGGAAAAGTTTTACTTGTTGTGTTATATGAATGTGGGGCCTGGCAGATAAGATTTTTAAATATTAATGGGATAAGGGAAAATCAAGGGAAATTTGTAGATGCATTAGTGAGGTTGAGAAGTGGTCCAGTCTCAACCTCCATTCCTATATATTCCATCCCAGTAACTGAACTGTTTATAGGCATAAAGGGATCATTATACATTTTGTTGGCATTAACTTTGTTGTTTCCCCACCACAGAGAAAACCTGCAGAGGTACACAGTGAACTTGTCGTTGTTGTCATATGGCTTCCATTCCTGGTGTATTCGATTATAGTTGAGGGTATAATTACAATGGGCCTGTGTCGAAGGCCCTAGGAAAGGGCTAGACCCTTGGGAATTTCTGATGCAGAGGCGACTCTTGCAGGCCATATCTGGTGCCTTCCCAATCTGCTCTGTCACGGTGGATGATTGCCATGAGGGATCAATTGGCCTAGGTTGCCCTCCTAAACCTGTGTTTTTGGTGTGCATGTAAATGGCGTAGTTGAATCCAGAGTATTGGGCTTTTAAATAATTTCTTCTGTAGATAATGGGACTGCTAGGGGTATAATGTTATCCATGAGTGCCTGTCTGCATGGGCATATCCAGCTGTTAGTGCCGTATGTTATGTTAGCAACCTGAAATATTACTGGGAGGAGTAGGTGCCTGGCTCCAGCCATGGAGGCAGTAGCTAGCCATGATACAATAAAAACAAAGCCATATTTAAGGAAAATGATAATATATAGTGAACTCAGGGAGATAGGAAAGAAGGGCTGTAAAGAGTATGAGAAAAACAGTTAACCAAACACCTAGTACCTCAGCACACTGATGTGATGTGGGGGTAAATGATATTACTAAGACAAATATAAAGACATTTCATCTAGGTGGTAATCTTGGAAGTCCCCTTGCAAATAGCAGTTGTAAACTACCTCCCTTATGAAAGCACCAATATTAAGAGGGTGAAGCTGCTTAAGTGAGGTGGGTGGATAATTACTGAAAGCCTGTAGTAGAATTGAATAAAAAGAGTCAGCTTTAAGAGTGAGGCCTAAAGGAGGCGATGGATTTATTTTTA